ACACACCCAAAGGCGGGTCCCACACCCGCCGCCACGCCTTTCCCATCTTTTTCTCCCCCAGCATCTCGGCTCTCACTCTCTCTTGGCTGAGCCCCTGTGTCCTTCCCAGGTGCCCGGGCGCACCAGTCTTTCCCTAGAACGCCAGCCTCAGCTTTTGCCTCAGTTTGTTTTAGTCCTGACCTACTTGACAGTGAGGGGAGAAGGGAGGCGTCCTCAGACAATGGTGCCCTGACCCAGAAATAAGGATGTCAGTGTCCCCACTTCCCTGGGACCCTGGAAAACCTAGGCCGGGGGTGAGGATACATCAGCAGCAAGGAGCCTCTCCCATAGTCCCATCTGCCTCCTTCAGGTCTGTGGTTGTGGGTGGGAGGGAGGTGAATCTTAATAAATTTTATTGTAGAGGTTGTTGATGTTGATGTTTGGGAAGATGGTTGTTGAGGCTGTTGTGGTTTCGTTACAATTTCCTGAAGTCCTGAACTGCTCCTGCCTGACACCCAGTAATAACCCTGGAGAGGAAATGGGGTCACCCTCTGGGCTTCTGGGATTATTTTTTTAAGGTTTCCTGGAAGCCTCCCGGGGTTTATAGAAGGAGATGCACTGCATCTTCCCAGTGTCCTGTTCTCTCCCTAGCCTGTGCTTGTCTAATCAAATCTACTTTTATCTTGCCTGTGTACTCAGCCCCAAAGAAATAAATATTTAAAAAATTTTAAGGCCTTACTTGTCTGTCCCTTATTTCTCTCTAGATTTTATGAAAGTGAGGAAAAAATACAAAGCTGAATGGCAGTTTTCTACAAGATAGAGATTTGCAAAACAAGTGCAAAGGTAACTAAATTTATAATACTTATAATCAAGATGTGGCTATAAACAACTATATACAGTAAAGCCCACAGACTCTGGAGCCAGAGGACCCAGGTAGGAAACCCAGCTCCACTCCCTTGACCTAAGCCATTGTCCAGGGAAGGGTCACGTGGGAAGCCCTGTCCGTGCTATCTGAAAGACTCTCAAGTGCATTCCTTTGACTCTGGACCTCATCACTTATCACCTGGTTACTTCAGCCACTTAGTCATGTTCACTGGTTGTACCACCTCCTCTAATACAGTGCTTCTCTCTCTTTATTGCATTAGAACCAGAAAAGAATCCCCAAATCTGGCCGATCGTGATTCCTGAGTCCCAACACCAGAGATTCTGACCCAGTAGGTGGTCCCAGACCATACTTTAAAAACCACCATATTCTGTCCTCTCATCTAGAAGGGAGTTCTAAAACCTAAATTGGATTGTGCCACTTTCCTGCTTAAAACCCTTCGGTAGCTCTTGATTGCTCCATACATAACTTGAAACTCAGAAGGTGATCACACATGTTTGATGGATGAATGAATAAATTAAAGAATGAATATTATAAGAATAATACTATCTAGGTACTACAGGACCTGGATTGAAACCCCAGCTCCACCATTAATGAGTCAAGTGATTTTAGGCCAGTTCCCTAACCCCTGACACTCTCATTCTCTATCAGTGAAATGTAGACAGTCATACTTGCCTGCCTACCTCACAAGGTTGGGGTCAATATACAAGCCAGATAATGTCGATGAAAAGATATTGTGGACTGGACACACAGAAATGTCAGGGTGAATCATTTTGAAAGGTTTACAAATGCATATAAAACATGTATGTTCAGTCTTCGGTTGCTCTCAAATGAAGACATTTTACATTGTCATTCCTTGTGAACCTTAATAGTTAGGCTTGGGAGCAGACTGTGTGGAAGAGAAGAAAAAGAAAAATATCCAGAAATTATTCCCTAGAGGAAACCTTCCCTGACCCTTGGACTTGGTCTGGTATCTCTATTCTATAGAAATTGTTCTCATAGATCCAGAGACATAGAAGCGTGGAACAGACTGACAAATCTCAGAGGGAAGGCGGGGGTGGGGGAGTGGGTGGGGAGAGATTAATCAAAGAATCTATATGCTTATATGCATAACCTATGGACA